GCGTTTCTTTGACTATTTATAGGCAAATATGGGCGTTACGTGAAGCCCGCAAAAGCTGCACCGCATTTCCAGTCGATTGTGATTTATAAAGGGAAACCGGCGTAGGAAGTGCTGTACGCACTTTCCTCACCGGTGTTGCGGTTTAACTGGTTGCACCGGGGAACTCGTGACGTTCTAACGGTAGGAATGGGGCGTGTACTTTGAGGAGCCATTGTCGAATAACCAGGAAATACACATTTCGATCGCTTCTTTTGTTGTTTACATTTATCTTTTGGTATATTTGGCTCCATAGGAACACTTTGATGCACATTCAGTATCAGTCTGTGAGGTGGTTGCAATGCCGATATCCGGACGCGTACAGCGAGGACTACAACATGACAATGAGGTGACTGGGGATGTCTGTTCAAAACATTGCAAACGTGAATAAATCATTTCAAATATGTATTTGTCTCCGACTTTAATTTGTACATCGTTGTTAATGTGATGTTTAGTAGCTTTGATAGCTGTCCATACTTCCAGACAGCCTAAAAGTAAGACACAAGTTGTTTACTCACAGCCCGAATGCAGCATCGAGATCCGTGGCCAGCTGTGATCCTCTCCGATTAACTTGTGACAGGACTTCTGTAGCTATTCTCTAGCGAGCAAGGTTTTATTAAATACCTCCATCCCTCTCATCACAACAAGACTCTACACTGTGCAGAAAAAAAAACAACATAAATGAAAATAACCTTGCTGGATAGCTTAGAATGAAACAAACAAACTATCTTCCATGGCTGATACTGATGTCACAGTAACGGCCCGTCCACACAGCGGCGTGCGTTGAAGCTTCCAACGCTTCTGCCCATTCACTTTGAATGGGGTGACGTCACTTTTAGCCGAACTGCATTTTGGGAAGTGACGTGGAGCGTTGCTGGCATTGCTCGCTTCAAAAGTTGAGCAATGTTCAACTTTTGACACCTCGACGTATATGCCAGTACAAGCTCTAGCCAATCAAACCGCGTGCTTGTGTGTCTGGGGCGGGAGATTCATGTGATTGGTTGTTGGTCGAGTGTCAGACACGCCCGCCGGCAAGCGTCAACGCACGCCGCTGTGTGGACGGGCCGTAACGGCCCGTCCACACTACAGCTTCGACAGCTTCAAAAACGGTTTCCAACGCGTCTGCCCATTCACTTTGATGGGGTGACGTCACTTTTCGCCGAACTGCATTGTGGGAAGCAGAGCGGAGCTTTCCTGGCGGTTCAGGCTGCAAAAGTTGAGCAATGTTCAACTTTTGAAGCTTCTGAAGCTTTCGGTGGAAGCGTCAGCCAATCAAATCATATGCCAGTACAAGCTCTAGCCAATCAAACCGCTGCATGTGTGTCAGGGGCAGGAGATTCATGTGATTCGTTGTTGGTTGAGCTTCAGACACGCCCAGCTCCAAGCTTTTTTTTAAGCTGTAGTGTGGATGGGCCGTAACAGCTAAACCACAGACAAGTCCAGCGGGGCACAAGTTGAATCCATATATTTAAATTGTTATTTTATATATATATATTTATATGTATGTCTAATCCTACATTGTCTAGGCTATATAAACCGGCGGAAGTGTCACAACTTTCTTGGTTTGTGATTATAGAGAGAGATAGATAGCAAGACAGAGACATAGAGATACTGTAGAGATAGAGATAGACAGACATAGAGAAAGATCGGCTGTGCGTAAGTGAGTATTGAATGTGATGTGATGTGTGTGTGTGTGTGTGTGTGTGTGTGTGTGTGTGTGTGTGTGTGTGTGTGTGTGTGTGTGTGTGTGTGTGTGTGTGTGTGTTTGTAGAGGTGTGTGTGGTTAAAACACATCAGCCTGCCTGCGGTCGCTCTTTAGTCAGAGAAATGTGAAATGTGAAAATACAAACACAGGTGGAAGGCTGAGGTTGCTGCAGCAGGCCAGGATCAGAACCTCCCAGCTGGGCAAGCCTTTATGCCTTCTTGTATTTTCACAAATAGAATAAAGGTTTCACAAATCTCAAACTGTGTTATAAAGAATGTTTAGACCCTCTGGGATAATCCAGTCCAGATTTGATGAGTCTAGGTCTAGTGGTTTCAGATCCGGATTTGGTCTAATGGGGTCTACATGTAAAAAAAAGCACTGAAATCTCCCTTGTTTGTATTTTCACAAATAGAATAAAGGTTTCACAAATCTAAAACTGTGTTATAAAGAATCTTTAGATTCTGTGCGATAATTCAGTCCAAATAAATCGGCTATGCAGCGATTTAAGAGGTTCAAACACGGAGGATTGTTCGCTCAGCGCTGTAAATTAAATGTCCCTTAACTTTCCCCTTAACTGCCGAATCGGATGCTCTGAATCGGAAGCCAACTTCAGCGTCGTTATAGCCAACGAGCTGGGTCTGCTGCACTTACACGTTGTGTGTTCTGCCCGGTTCCACACGGGGACTGGTCGCTTTGCATAGGCCAGTTGAGGAATTGGAAGCCAGTTTGAAGTGTTTTGTTTCTAACACAGTGTTTATCGTTTTTGTTACTCTTTACTCCTTTACAGCTGATAGGACCGTATGACCATGCACTTGACATTTTCAGTTTAATTAGAAGGCCCTGCAATGACAGCAAGGACTAAAGGTAGACCTATATTGGATAATATAACTGTAGTTAGTTACAACATTAAGGGATTGGGAAATTCTATTAAGAGGAAAAAAATACTTTCTCAGCTTAAGGCTTTGAAATGTTCAATTGCGATGTTACAAGAGACCCATATGTCTGAAGTTGAGCATTTAAAGTTGAGGAAAGACTGGGTGGAACGGGTTTACAGTGCATCGTATAAGGGTGGGAGGAAGAGGGGGGTTGCGATCTTATTCAGTAGGTCTGTGCTCTTTGAAAGAGTAATTCAGGACGAGGAAGGCAGATATGTCATGGTGATTGGGGAAGATAAATTCACATTTCTAAATGTATATGCCCCGAATGAGGACTGTCCTTATTTTTTCAAGAAAATTGCTGCCAAATTGGCAGAGGAGGGGGAGGGAACTATTGTGATAGGGGGGGACTTCAATTGTGTATTAAATTCGAGCATGGACAGATTGCCTGCTAAGAAGGGAATCAGATCTAGGAAAACAACCACTGCCCTGGGGATGTTAGATGGACTGGGTTTGGTAGATGGACTGGGTTTGGTAGATGTCTGGCGATATCTCCATCCCAAAGATAAAGATTATACATACAGATCTCTAGTTCATGGGAGTTACTCTAGAATAGACACAAAGAAAGTTACATCTCAGTCTAAAGAAATAGCAGAAGCATTTGCTGTGTATTACAAAAAGCTATATGAGGGCCAGGAGGTACAAGGGAAAGAGGATAAGATATCACGTCTCCTTGACTCGGTAGAATTAAACAAACTGTCACAGGAGGAGGCTGACATGATGTGTTCCCCCATTACAGTAGAGGAAATAATAGATAGTATTGGTAACCTCAAGAATAACAGATCTCCCGGTATCGATGGGTACTCGGGGGAGTACTATAACGTTTTTGTGAATGAGTTGGCACCAGTCCTATGTCGGGTATATAATTATGAATTGGATGAAGGAGACCCACCGAAATCCTGGTCAGAGGCAATCATTACGGTTATTCATAAAGAAGGGAAGGACCCCACACAATATATGGGTTATCGGCCCATAAGCCTTCTCTGTCAGGATTTTAAAATCCTGACCTCTATTCTGGCTAGTAGAATACAGAGGTACATTAGGAAGCTAGTACACCCAGACCAAACGGGATTCATTGCTGGGCGCCATGGTACTAACAATGTTAGAAGAGCTCTCAATTTACAATCACTTGCAGCCGGGAGGAAAACCCCATCAATGCTTCTCAGTCTAGACGCTGAGAAAGCATTTGATATATTAGATTGGACATTTCTGCAGAGGACACTGTCACATATGGGCTTTGGTCAGACCTTTATTAACTGGGTCAAAGTGTTTTATAATAACCCAAGATCGAGAGTTAGAGTCAATGGCCACTGCTCTGATTTCTTTGCGTTGGGAAGGGCGACGAGGCAGGGAGATGCTTTATCCCCAGCCCTGTTTGCCCTTAGTATTGAACCTCTTGCAGAACTAATCAGGAGTAATCCTCATATACAGGGAATAAAATATGAGGATGGGAATCAACATAAGGTGGGTCTATACGCGGACGATATAATATTATTTCTGGAAAATCCAGAGTCCTCTGTCCCGGCCCTCCTACAAAATCTGGAAGAATATGGCCTGGTATCTGGATATAAAATTAATCCACTAAATCAGAGGCAATGATGATCTCGGGGATGTGGCCAAGTCAACTTGATAGTACAGAGTCCTTTCACAGGTCTGGTCAGGGATTTCGATACTTAGGGATTGCACTCACCCCCAAAATAACACAGTTGTTCCAAGCTAATTCTAAAAATATATTTGAGGTGTTTAAAACTGACTTAACTAGATGGGATGTGCTGCCGTTGTCACTTTTGGGTAGAATAGAGGCTGTAAAAATGAACATATTACCCAGACTTTTGTTTTTGTTTCAATCTCTGCCCATTTGGGTCCCGGCATCTGCCTTCAATATGTTGGATAATAAATTAATAAATAATTTCCCAATTAATTAAGAATAAAGTATATGAAATGTAATCTAATCTGATTATGTAATGGAACATAATAGTACATTTACTTTTTTACTTTAAGTATACTGATGCTACTATTTTGACTTTTACCCGTATTAAGGTGGTTCTATAATGATGTATTGCTAATGTTACCTAAGGAAACCTATCTTAAAACTAGCCATACTAAATGTACTAGTGAGACAGCGGACATATTTCGGGCAGTTATGGAATTTATTGGTGTCAAAGAGGAAGGGACAATAAGTGCATGAATATTAGTCAGACAGGGAATAATGCAGAAGTTACAGCTAAAAAAAGCACTAAAGAAAGACTCATTTGAACACTGAAACATAATTTCTCAGACAGCATTTCTCTAAACCGCTCTCGGCTTGTTAAAGGCTCATTGGCACCATGGCAGAGCTCAGTTTCAACAAGGATCACGGCTATCTGGAGGGTCTGGTCCGCGGAATGAAGGCTGGGATCCTGACTGACACCGACTATCACAATCTGGCCCAGTGTGACACACTTGATGGTAAGCATGTTGGTGTTGGGGAAGCTAATTTACAGGCATTGGATGAGGTAGAACTGTATACATCCAGATGGGAATGATTGAGTCAGAGAATGCTCTAAAATTACAACAGCATAGGACAATTCAAAGTAGAGTACATATTATATGTACACAAGTGAAAAAATATAATTTGACACAAATAAGGCAATTAAAGTAAAAACTCTTTGAGCAAAAAAAAACTGTAGATGTTCCAAATAATATTGATATGACTGTTGTTCTTAGTGTCAGATTTTTCAGCAAAATGGGGAAGACTTGCATGGTTTGACGGCCACTGGTAAAAAATACCTTTTCAACAGCTTTGACAATTAAAAACTACTTTACCACAGCAAAGCGGAGAAATCTAGTTTGGTTAGCAAAAGCTACTTGGAATAAGTAGTGCAAGCTACTTTGAGCATTTGTTGATCAGACTGACAATATATATCTTTGTGAATCAAAATTATTAACGTAATATAACGTAAAAAAGTAAAATGTCTCTCAACTGAGTTATTTTAGGGTGCACACTTGAATGCTGGTCCTATAAACAACACAAGAAATATACACCACTATCTTAGACCATTTGACAGACTTGAGTAATGGTCTAAAAAAAGGAAACATGCCAGTTGTCTGCTATCAGAGGGTAATTTGCTGCAGTGTAACTGACAGGGATCATCTTTCCTAACCTGGACCCAGTTTTTCAAAACAGTAATCTGATTTTCTTACAAGGTAATATGCATTCCTTTCTGGGAGACACATAGGCTACAGGACAAGTCAGTGTGGATGAAGACAAATGACTTGTTAGTGTTGAGCTACTGTGTATATTTTCAGGAATGTTTACTCTCCCACTCACCAGTTCTGTAAGTTTGTGGATCTTGGAAAGTGTTTGAGATAGTTCTCCTAACAGACCCAATGCAGTTTATTTATTTTTACATCATAGCCTATGTGTCCGCCATCCGCTGAAATCCGTTTAACAAATTGGTCAAAAGTCAGGGAGTGCCATGTGTGAATTACATACTGTATAGACTTCCTGTTTTTTTTTTTGTAAATGCAAACTCCCAGGAAGCCGTTGTGGAAAAACACTGATTTGAGCTCAAGTTAAGCTATGAGGACGATAAATGTTGTACAAAATGTTCTTTTCTTTCCCCAGACATGAAGCTGCATCTGCAGAGCACAGATTATGGTAAAATGCTGTCTTCGTCTGAGGAGGACCTGACTGTGTCTCTGGTGGACAGCAAGCTGAGGGAGAACCTGGTGACTGAATTCAGCTGCCTTCGCTCCAACGCCCTGCCTCCATTATCCACCTTCCTTGACTATATAACGTACGATAATGTAATTAATTAAGAATTATACAAAGATCACAAGACAGAGTTCCTGTCGTAATCTCTCCATATATCTTGCAATCTACAAGTCCCAAATCCAATCCATTTAAATGTTTAATTTCACAAATCTTTGTGTGCTACAAGATTCAAATGCTGTGTCTCAATTCACGTACTTCTTTACCTAGCTAAGCTATTTTAAGTGTGACCCAAAATTCACTATGAGTACCCAGTAGCGTAGGCAGAAATGTACTTTAGGGTGGGCCTGTAAAAAATAGGGTGGGCCAGATTTTTCTTCTGCGCATCAGAAGCTAACAACAATCCCCGCCGGTACCGGTGACAGATTACTTTTAGAATACTTTTGGAATACTTTCTTTTTCCATAACAGATGGGTATGTTTTGGTGAACAGGAGACACGTATTTCACTGTTTTAATGGCTTATCAAGAGCTCAAACACAACATCTTGGTGTCATTCTGGACAGCTCTCTCATCTGCACCACACATAAAAAAATATCACCCGGACTGCATTCTTTGTACTGTGTTAAAACCTTTCCTTAGAATATGTTATGAATTGTAAGGTGTCCTAAATAGAATGAATTATCATTATTATTTATTAGGGCCCGAGCACGAGAGTGCTAGGACCCAACGGCGTCCTAGCACGAAGTGCAAGGATACCTATTGTTATTCGTGGAATTATTCTTATTTTTCTGCTGGCGTTTCCTGTTTTTGAGGCCTTTAGGACGCTGAAAAAGTTGTATAATTTTGCACAGATTCCAGAATCGGTGAAAACTACAATATTCTGGACTCAATGTGTTCAAATTGTCCAACATGCTCTCTAGCGCCACCTATGGCCATTTCCGTTTTTGGAAAGATGTACAAAGTCGCACCGTAACTCCAAATGACCTGAAATTTTTCACACTTACTCGGGTGGACCTGCTCTACATATAAGGTCCAAGTACCCGTAAGCTCCGCCTACTTTATTTTTTTTTTAAATTAGCATAATTTGAAAAACAGTTAAATATTCACTTAAATTTCAAATTTTGGTTTTTCAACACCAAACTCAGTATACAGTATCGCCGGAGGGTCAGACACATTATCGTAGGAAATGAGCATGTTCAGTCGATAAATGTGGCCCTCATTACTCTAAACGTGTTCGCAAAAAGGCGGGGCTTAGATAGAAATGCTCATAACTCATCAACAATGTACAAAAAAAACACACATTTTGGTGGTAATGTTCAATCTGTATTGGGGAATAGGCACAACAAGTAATTTCCATTTTGGACTATAGGGGGCGCCAAAAACATGACAAATGTATAACTCATGAACTGATGGACGAAATATATATATTTTTTTTAGACATACTCTGGGGATGAGTATGGACTTATATTTAAATTGTCACAACGAATGACAAATGTGGGCGTGGCCTGTACTTTTTTTTTTATGACGATGTGCTAAAATGTGTTTCGGTACGCAAAACTTGGTACACACGTCACAGCCCACGACCTTTTCAAGAATGTAAAAAAAAAAACGTACTTTTTCTAAAATACTGCTCACTAGCGCCCCCTATTGTGTGGTAGTCTCATAGTTTCTCACAACTTCACGAATTTTGGCACAGACATTCCTCATGGAATTGAAGACATATTTGTACATACATTCCATTAGCCCCGCCCCCCAACAAGTCGGCCATTTTGAAATATGTGCGTTTTTCAGCCATTTTAAGCACATTCTTGCACACTTCTCCTAGGGGAATGATCGGAAAAATTCCAATCCAGGACACGTTCAGCCCCTATCCAATATGAAACTTAATTGAGAAGCACATTTTTGAAAAATTACTCGTGGAGGTCGTAAGCTAACAGCGAATACACCATTTTTGACGATTTACATGTCGCAAATTACTCCAAACTTCTCGGATATAGTTATTCCGATATTCACGAAACGCTGTATACATATTGCTATTATGATTGCACACATATTTCACATTGCCTTCCATTAGCCCCGCCCCCCAGAAAGTGGGCCATTTTGAAAAATGTGCGTTTTTCAGCCATTTTACGCACGTTCTTGCAAACTCCTCCTAGGGGAATGATCAGAAAAATTCCAATGCAGGACACGTTTAGCCCCTATCCAATAGGATACTTAATTCAGGAGCACATTTTTGAAAAATTACTCGTGGAGGTCGTAGGCTAACAGCGAATACACCATTTTTGACTATTCACATGGCGCAAATTGCTCCAAACTGGTCGCATATAGTTTTTCCGATATTCACGAAACGCTGTATACATATTGCTATTATGATTGCACACATATTTCAAATTGCCTTCCATTAGCCCCGCCCCCCATAAAGTCGGCCATTTTGAAAAATGTCCGTTTTTCAGCCATTTTACGCACGTTCTTGCAAACTCCTCCTAGGGGAATGATCAGAAAAATTCCAATGCAGGACAGGTTTAGCCCCTATCCAATAGGATCCTTAATTCAGGAGCACATTTTTGAAAAATTACTCGTGGAGGTCGTAGGCTAATAGCGAATATACCATTTTTGACGATTTACATGTTGCAAATTACTCCAAACTACTCGGATACAGTTGTTCCGATATTCACGAAACGCTGTATACATATTGCTATTATGATTGCACATATATTTCAAATTGCCTTCCATTAGCCCCGCCCCCCATAAAGTCGGCCATTTTGAAAAATGTGCGTTTTTCAGCCATTTTACGCACGTTCTTGCAAACTTCTCCTAGGGGAATGATCAGAACAATTCCAATGCAGGACAGGTTTAGCCCCTATCCAATAGGATACTTAATTCAGGAGCACATTTTTGAAAAATTACTCGTGGAGGTCGTAGGCTAACAGCGAATACACCATTTTTGACGATTCACATGTCACAAATTACTCCAATTACTCCAAACTACTCGCGTATACTTTTTCCAATATTCACGAAACGCTGTATACATATTGCTATTATGATTGCACACATATTTCAAATTGCCTTCCATTAGCCCCGCCCACCAGAAAGTCGGCCATTTTGAAAAATGGCCGTTTTTCATGCATTTTAAGGACATTTCTGCAAACTCCTCATAGGGGAATGATCGGAACAATTCCAATCCAGGACAACTTCAGCGCATATCCAATGTCATGCTACATTGAGAAGTAATAGTCCTTCGCTCAAACGGGTAGCTCGTAGGCTAACGGAGAATGTACCATTTTTGACCAATTATATGTCAGATAAGCTACTGAGGCCTGCCTGTTTGCCTGGCACATCAACTCTCACACACACACACACACACACACACACACACACACACACACACACACACACAAACACACACACCTACTGTTAGTCCAACAACGCCCTTTGCTGGCGGCATATTCATTACAAAAGACACTCGCTAACCCTAACCCTAACCCTAACCCTAATGTTTATTTGTAGATATCTCCTAAAGCCTACAAATACAGTGTGACATGTAGGCCTGTTACATTTGTTATTGAGCGATATATATTATACACACTGTTCTGCTTTCTGCACTGACCTCAGCAGCTGTTCTCACTGTAACATCACCTAACATCCAGGGGACATGTGATTAGTGAGTAAACAAACGGTAAAGGGCAGAAAGTCTGATGCACATTTGATCATCTCAAATAACTTATAATCACAACGGGAACACTTTGCAGAGCTGTGCTTTGTTGACAGAAGTCCAGACATGCGTCACGCCTCTTTTAAACATCACTGTTGGCTGAAATCGTCTCAGGAGAATACTTCAGTGTACCCTCGGTTATAGCTCCTCCAGAGACACTCCTCTCTCCTCTAAATCAGTGTATCCTCGGTTACGGCTCCTCCAGACAGCCTCCTCGATAATCGATCCTCGACGACCCTTTAGAGAAATTTGTTTTCCTTCGACATCCGTTTCCGGGTCGCTGCCGGAGCACCTGGGAGTCTGGGACGCGAAAATTAGAGAAATGACAAACGGCTCATTTCCCAGGACTCGCGCACGTCTGCTTGACGCCGGGACGACCTGCCGCCCTCCCCGACAGGCGCACGGACGCGAGGGCCCGCTCATCACTGCGCGCACAAGTGCGACCGCAGTTTTAATTATTATTATTATCTGAAACGATGTAATAACTTTTAAAACTTTTTCCAGTCACTTGCCCCATGCATTCAGCAGCAGCAGGCCATTCACTTTGATTTTATCCCGATATAAATGTCATCATTTCGACAATAAAGAAATGCTACATAAACGTTATCTTGCACATACAAGAGATCTCTCTCTCTCTCACCTGCGTGCGGGGGCGGGGCCTCACAGACACGCTGCACAGCGCACAGCGCCGGTAATGAATATTACATTTTGTGAGGAAACTTTTCCACCAATAATTCCAATAAGTATTCCAAAATGTATTCACTTCAGGTTTACGAAAGTAACTGTAATCAGATTACTCGTTTTTCAAATGTAACGCCAGCTGAATACACTTGATTTTTGTATTCTGATTACGTAACGCTGTTACATGTAGGCTATTCCGTGACAACCCAACCCTGTGTATATCTCTCCGGACTGTCCACCAGCAGATGAAAAACACCCACCTCTCCGCCTCTTCCAAGGGACGAGGGAACCGTGCGGCAGAGTTTCCGTTAACATTTTGTTTCTTCTGACAGCCCAGCAGCAGGAGAGGTGGGGAGAGGGAGGCGGGGCTATTTCATCGTTATCAGAAAATGAGGGCAGTGGGGGCTCTTCTTGGAGTCTGGCTTTAAGCCATCATTTATTTAGCAGGCAGCTCTCTGCCTAACAAACAATCAGTTTTACCGTAAATGAGTTCGGTTCAGAGGATAAAACACATACAACATTCATTAAACTCGATATTTGTTCACTTGAATTTCACTTTGAATTATTGGATATTCTCAATGGGTGAATACATTTTTTTATAATAATATAAAAAAAATTAAATGACACCGAAGCTTTCTCAGGGTGGGCCAATGAGTAAACTGGGTCTGAGGCCCACCCAGACTTCACGCACTCAATGGTAACTTGACGGAAGTTGTGTGACCTGCCAAGATTGCGGTTGCTCTGGTGAACACAGCATTATACAATTAAAATATATACTTTATATTATTTTTACTATTTAATAAACATAGCAGTATAGTGTTGTTAAAAAGAAGCCACTGTTCATTTAATAGCTAGGTAGCAACAACCAGGCATCCGCTAGGTAAAGAAGCACGTGAATTGAGAGACAGCATTTGAATGGGTTTTCAACTTGCTAGCTCGCTCGTTAGCTAGCAAGTGTGGACATTTCAACAATCAGCCATCGTCTTTAAAATGTGCACTGCTTCACTGACCGCACGAAAAATGTGTATTCAAATTTAGTCAAAGCAACAGTCGGTAAACATTTTCTTAAAATGTAAAATAGTTCAATATGCCCTAAGTAAAAGGGATGTAATATAAAATGGCATGCACACAAATAAAGTAACATCTATTTACTCTGTGTTGCCATAGCTACAGCTACATGATCGACAATGTGGTGATGCTGATCACAGGTGCCCTGAAACAGAGAGATGTGGCAGAGGTTCTCCCACGTTGTCACCCACTAGGAGCTTTTGATCAGATGGCAGCAGTGGGCATCGCTCGCACCCCGACTGAGCTCTACTCAGCCATCCTGGTGGACACACCACTGGGTAGGGTCATTCAATCATTTGTGTTTAACTAACTCCTAAAGATGGTAACTATAGATAAACTGTCAAATAAGATTTAACACCTGAGATGATTTTATATCTCCAGTGTTAAAGTGAAAATGTAATTGTTTTATAATGGGGAGGAAACATTTTCAAAAACTGAAGTTTGATGAATAGGACCCTTTCTGGTTGGAGATCAAATTAAATATAAAAATATATCATTGTTTAACACCTAAAAGTGGGAGTGGAATCATCTGTGTTTATATACTGTATAAAATATGTGATTGTGGAGAAGGTAGGAGACTCATCGACTATAGGCGCAAACGGTACATAAGTTAACCTTTCAACGTGCTAAACAATTAGGTAAAGTTCAGGCAGTGACAATACTGTAGCTCTCGAAACGTCTTTATATTTTCTCTGTTCTCCATTCTTTTTCACTCTGAATTTTATCCAAATTTCAATCAAGACTTGCCAAAAGAAGAAAAACACTCTCCCTCTACTCTTGGTACCTTGACCTTATGTTCCCTTAGCCAATGTTCCCTTAGCCAATGTTCCCTTATCCTGTGTTCACTTGGCCTTAAGTTCCCTCACCCAACGTAACCTCTGCTCTTTCTACATCATCCAGTGTTCACTCAGCCTATTTTCACTTAGTCTATGTTCCCTCAACCGGGGTTCCCTCTGGCCCATGGTTCCTCAGCCTATATGTTCCCTCACGCAACGTTCTCTTAGCCTATGTTCCCTCTCCAATTCTTTCCTCAGCCTATGTTTCCTACTCCTATGTTCCCCTGTCAAATGTTCCCTCGGCCTATTGTCCCTTGCCCAATGTTCCTTGAACATATTTATCCAAATTCCCATAAGGCGATGTTCCCTCACTCAATGTTCCTTTAGCCTATTGAGGTTTTCCAAACACATGAAGTGGCTTGGCTCAAATCTGCTTGACGACACAGGGATTTGCATTTTCATTTCAACAGGACTACTCACTTAAAAGTGTGTCCTGATCCTCGGGAATTCTGGATCTAAGTAGTGGCTGTATAAATGGTGGATAAACTCATTTATATCCCTATTAGTTTTAACAATAAAAGTCCCCCTTTATTTGTTATGCTTACTCTTCCTCCCGGCAGTATTAATAGTCTTGTTTTTATTGAAGAATAGCCATTTACAAAGCTCCACTTTGGAGCCAAATATAAATCACTGAAAGCTGACCACATAGACTTTATAAAGCGTATGCCTCTCTTGTGTTGCACATGAGATCAAGGCACGGTCGCACAACAGGTTGGTGGGAGAGGGAGAATTAGTTTGTATTCTGTAGGTTGGTTTGGCCCAACTCTGGAGATAGTAAAACTATGAAAATGCAAAACAGCGAGGCCCAGCTTGACTGGCAATCAAAATGGTCAACGAACAGTATTTGTTCGGGAGAGGGACGGGTTCAGGAAAGTCATGGTTGGATTTTACCCTGTGTTTTTATCCACCTTCTCCAAAAAGTTGAGAAGTGAGGTTATATAAGGGAACAGCATTCGTCTCTTTAAGTTGAGGAACATTCTTTTGGATTGTTTTTATAATATTGCATTGAGTGAATTACAGGAACATAGGTCTGAGAAAACATTGGCAAGCAACACAGCTAATAATATATTATGACTTTTTCCGTTTTTGACTGTCAGGCTTACTGCTCCCTCCACCGTCAACATCATCCATCCATCAAGACAATTTTCTATTGGTCAACCGGTCAAAGTTCACAAACACGGATATTCCATCGTAATTGAATAATTTCACGGCCAATTTGGTCTTTAAGCTGCTCGATCAGACATTGATTTATGCCAGAGACTAATAATGATACCACTGTGTTGTTGTGTAAAAGCTCGGTTTTTCCAGGAAGCTGTATCCGATACCAACCTGGATGAAATGGAAGCTGAAATTCTCAGAAGCAAGCTGTTTAAGGTGACTACAGGGTACAATTATACTATAAAGCGGTAACGTGGTGTGCGGTGTGTCTTCATATAAATTCTGGACTGTTGAGTTTTAAGACAATGTGCTTACCCTCTTCCTTTGGGGTCAGGGTTTTATGTTACAGACACTTAAAGACTTTTTTTTAAAGATATGATGAATATGTGTTTCTTTAAAGGCATATTTAGAGTCTTTCCACTCCTTCTGCAAGAGCCTTGGTGGAGCCACAAGAGATACAATGTGTCCTGTCCTGGAGGTACTGTGAATAGACTTTATACATATTTGTACGTAGACCGTCCTTTTCATGCTAGGAATCATTCAAGTAGGTCTTAAGTCCCATATTTCTTATTGTGTATGGTCATCTCTCTCAAATATAGTAAAATAACATACAGAGCTGTCTGACCAGAACTGATAATACCAATATTTGAGGAGTCATCTTTAGATAAAAAGCTAATTGCTGCTGCACAGAATTAATACATGAAGGGAAAGGGCTCCAAATTGGAGTAGTTCAGTGATGATGTAAAATTGTAGCTAACCGGAAGGGGCATCATATGATAAACAAAATCACATTTGGCAGGATATTCTCCACAAATGAACACCTCTTTGTGATTGTGGAAAAATATTCGGCAGTAGTAAAAAGCTATAAACAAACTACGGTTACATGAGTAGTGTAATTACTGTCGTATTTAATGTCGCAGAACAAAACGTGAAAATATAAGCTTGTGAGCCTTATTTACGGCCTTTAACCAAAAACATGTTTACATTTTTTTGGACTATGAGACGAGGGTATGAAGGTAGATATGGTGCAAAATGCGAGAGTGTGTAAAACCTGATGTGAGCACTTGCAGAAAAAATCTGAGCTTGTAATACATTTACACTCGTATAAAATATCCACGTAACTGTGAACCAAATTTACACTTGTATAAAATATCCACGTAACTGTGAACCAAGTTTGAAGTCACAGAAGAAAAAAAAAAAGTTGTGTAGCTTGTAGAAAAAAAATGAACTTAGTGATGAAATGTTCACTTGCAGAAAAATACATATTTTTAAAATATATTTTCCATTACAACTGCAACTTGGTTATTACAACCTCTCAAATCAGTAATTACAACTTGACGAATCTGCTCTGTGGCAGTATACATCGACGAATCTGCGGACTTCTTGCGATAAATGTGTCGCAAAAGTAATTTTCACCTGTAGATGTGGGGGGAGGGAGGGGGGTTGGAGCGAAGGGGCGGAGCTATCAGAACGACGAGGCTCGGGTCAGTCACACAGTCATAGCCACAAGAGGCTTCTCAATTCTTAAATTTCCCCTCCTCGACTCCCCTCCTCGAGACTTAGTCCCGCCCACAGGAGATGCGAGCGGAGGACCGAGGAGGGGGAGCAGCAGACGTTTAAAGAAATGAGAACTCCTCTCCTCTGAGCGGTCATATTAAAGCGACGTCCGTGCTGTCGAGTCATAGCGCTGTATTTTATAATCTCTGTTAGATCAGCTGAACATTGTTCCCCCACATATTTACTTTGAATTCATTGAGAGTGCGGTATAATGAGACAATAACAGGCTACAGATGCGGACACACACACACACACAATATATTTATATAAATATATACAATTTAAAGTATGAGAGCACTCTCATAATAACGTAACACAATCAGAGACTGGATATATCCCCCCCCCCCCCTCTCTCTGGTCGCTGAAATGGGGAATTGAAATTACGGGCCAAAAGTTGTATTTACAAGTATTAAAAGTAAGCAGAGGACACCAAACCAACTGAGACCCGTCTGTCCCCCGCATCTACGCACTGTACAACACCAACACATCCTCACTCCCAGGTCGGTCTATGTTGACGTTATGTCAAGTCCCCTGTGTCGGCTTTTTCCAACGCAGGGGGGGGGGGGGGGGGCCTTAGCGTACATTTTCAACTTTTCGGGATGTCCATTAGTCCTCAATAGCTCCCTAAACGTATGTTGTAGACGACTTGAGATCGCGAGCAAATGCTACCCGCAGATCCATTCTCACAGCGTTTATCAACCTTTTTCTTACTCAATATCAAGCCACACTTATTGTTTTTACTTCTTCATTTTAATTGAATAATGTAGGACTTTTGTTGCCGTCAGTTATGGGGAGAGTAGGGGCTCAGAATACAGAAATCTGTATCTGTATTAATGGACGTGCCGTTGTGCGATGAAGTGATTGCACAATAATTTACAAACTCTTCAACTACAACCCTAATTATATATTTTAAAACATTTTAGAAGGCCTCACGAAATACTTTAATGTAAATTAAATTGAAATGTGAAGGTATGTGTGTAATGTGGTGATTGACATTATTCACCCACGGACCTATGGGACCTATTGTAGCGCACGGACTTCCTGTTGATGTGAAATACGAAAACATTTTTTAAAAATAAAATAATACTTTATTCCGAGTGTGCTTGCTTTTCTCTTAGGAGGTCATCACATAACGGCATTGTAATACACGGTTCGGCTGCATTAAATATTACATATCTGCCGTAGTTCGCTATTTATAGAGCCCTGCTGAGAAGACAGAAACCCGAAAATCTTCGCGCGCGTGCGTGTGCGCGCGCACGCACGCACGCGTGGGACACATGCATGTGTCCCGTTTTTCCATTTCTGGAAGTTGGCAACCCTAGTCAACATAGGCCGACCTGGGAGTGAGGATGTGTTGACAACACACACCTACACACTGTACCACACACACACCTACACATTGTACCACACACACACCTACACACTGTACCACGCACACACCTACAGCTCCTAAAGCATAATCAGGCTACAGCCGTTGTGTATTTTATTATGTGAAGCACTAAATGGTTTTAGAAAAATATCGACTCTTTGTTTGTAGTTATCTACTAAACTAAAGCAAACAAAGAGAGTAAGGCTGTTATACTCAGTGGTATATATTATACACACGGCTCTGCTTTCTGCACGGACCTCACAGCTGTTCTCTCTGGAAACATCGCAACGCGATGAAAGCAGTTTCTAAAATAATATCCAGTCACGCCTCCACCGTTACCGGAAATGCATCCGCGGAGGAGCCGTGGAGGAACCATCAGTGTATCCTCGGTTAGAGCTCCTCCAAAGAGCCTCCTCGACGCTCGATTCTCCGATCCTCGGTGTGCATTTAGAGAAATGAGATGTCCTTCAAAATGGCGCGCTGAAATTCATTTCCGGGTCACTACCAGAGGACCGAGGAGTGGAGATTTGAGTATTGAGAAGCCTCTCCTGTCAGGTCGAACCGGATGACTGCGGGGCTAGGTTCGTGTCGCTACCAGTCCGTTGACATGGCGCGTCAATCAACGGTAAGTTTAGCCCATTACTTGCCCAGTATTACTTTGAATTATATATTATTGTGATTGAGGATTAAATCCGCTTTGAAGACCACCGTTTTATATTGTGTAGTTTAGTGGCAAAATAACGTCAGTTAGCCAGCTAACGCTAGCTTTGATGAGTCTATGCTAGCTAAACAAGTAGTGGTTGTAGTCTACAGCAGTAATTCATATATTATAGTAGGGCTGTGCGATTATGGCAAAAATCATAATCACGATTATTTGGGTCAATAATTGATATCACGATTATTTTGACGATTATTCATTGACCATTTATTGAACTTTAAAACAAATAATATTTTACCAATAAACAAGATCAACAAATATGTTGGAGCGCACTTCCAAAACCATACTAAACATATATTATTAATATGATAAATAAAAATAAATTAGACCAAAATAAATTAAATCCAATATGTTGCAGTGCACTGTCACAACCTACTGAAAACTCCTTAACATAGCCAACATTTTGGTAAAACATATTCATTATTCCACTCAGTTAAACGTTGAAGGCTGGCCAACCGTCATGGTCCAGAAGTAACAGGAAATAAATGTTGAACTACAATTTAAGACCAAATAAAAATGTTTAGGCCACCATGACAAATGCTGGTAGGGCTGTTCATGTCATCTCTTAAAGATTTTTTGCAAGAAACACCAGGCTGTTTACATGGTCTGGTTTCAGAGATCAGCGCAGGCAGGTGACGATATTGCCACCTGTACTGAAGACCCTCAGCGGCTCAGCCACGCCCCGACACATGGGGTGACGCCGGCCAATCACAAAGCTTTGATGCATTCAAGTGCATTATTCTGGCACAGGAAGATTATGTTACAGGACATTAACGATAAAACAGAATATTGTTGTTCTATTTTTAGACACATCTCGCGATCGACTGGTTGGGCACCCCTGGGCTAGACCATAGGTCCGTTGTGGTCGCAAAGTAGTCACGGCATTTGTCACATAGCGCAGGCAGCGCAGACCTGCTGAAATAATACCGAGACGGCATCGCGTAACGCTTGTCCAACGTGTTGACAAGTTGCTTAAAGCCCTGGTTGCTAACAGTGCTAACTGGGCACATATCTTTAGCGATGTGGAATGTAATGGCAAAGTACTTGCAAATAGTGGAAATAGTTTTACCCTTCTTTTTAACGAGTTGCTGCTCTTGTTCTGACATCTTCGCTCGCGCTGAACACTCACAACACATGTCACTCCCATGTGGCCGAGTGGGCTTTTAGGGAGGGGTGAAGCGCACCCAGCAAAATAATCGTATTTTGTCAATTATGCTGTTTTCATAATCGTCGCAAGCCATAATCGTAATCGCGATTAAAATACGATTAATTGCACAGCCCTATATTATAGCCTACTGCTTTGGCACTAACGGTTGATAACCGTTTATGAAAATAAAACCAATTGAACTGTGCTGAAATAATGACAAGTTTTATAATTGTCTTGGGCTCCTGCTGTGTTTTTAAAGCCTTTGTAAATTATCGATGCTATTTTCTATTTAGCTAACGTCGAAGTAGTGTATGTGAAATCAACCTCACAATAAGATGTGTGTATATTACAATTATTAATGTCATATTTCAAGATGATTACTTAGATATTACAATATGGTTGGTTGAGCTGGAGTTCATTATTGAGCTTACACGTTAACGTCAGTCATATCTGAAGAACAAACCCAAACCTTGTTGTTTTTATTAATTGCATTACCAAATGGGTATCAAATAAACAGTAAGCATTGGTAACACAACTTCCAAAGTTACAGTAAAATAAAAAGGACCCTGACTCGGACACTACACAATCCAACATGTTCAACAGAAGATAATCAGTTATATTGTTTGTATGGTACTTTACATATATATCTGTTTGTTTAAGGTGTCCAGGTGATGCAGACAGGCTGGACCAGAGAGAGAGACAGAACTGGACTCCTCACAGCAGTGAACTTCAGCACAGGTACAAATACTCTATTTTTCATACTGTACAAAGAATCAAGAAAGATATTGGTTTAAATAAATGAAGTATTGACTTTAATACACTGATATACATTCCATTAAACAATACTAAATACTAGATCACCTACACATCAGTGAAGTTGAGGGTTTTTTCCATGCAAAAAGTTACATTTAGATGTTAAAGGTGGGGTAGGTAAGTTTGGAGAAACCAGCTTGAGTGCGCTAGAATTTGAAAATACACAGCCGGAAAAAATCTGCCACTTCCTTACAGAGCCCCTCCTCCAACACACACGAACGTGCACATGACCAATGAGGGCACGAGATAAGTCATCCAGTTATTTTAGCCGGACCGGCTCAGATGATTGGTCGTGCTTTTTACAGTACCACGGCTTCCACAGATGACGTTTTTTTATGGATTTTTTGTCAAAGCACTTAAGATATTCATTGCTATCAGGATGTTAAGAGCATTCCATGGAATATAACAAAAAGTGTATCTCGAGCCGGTTTCTCAAACTTACCTACCCCACCTTTAACAAGCAATATGACTTTGTCAGCTTTCTAATTTAATGTATTGAAGGCAAAGCTATTTAACACATAGTGAGAACTGCTACTATTTATCTCTCAATATTGTCTGTAAAAAACGTGGTAAAAGTTATTCTTTCTGTGAGACAACAGAGCAAGCTTCTACAGTTGCACTACGTTTTGTAACAGTTCAATATTATTTTGATAATAACATATATTTCAATGTTGATGAACTTCATACTGTTCATTCATAATCTGATTACAATTAAAAAATAATTATATCTACAGCCCCTAAACACACCTCTTTCATAAATAACACACTTGTTCTGCAATAATATGTTTTATGTTTCCTGTCATTTTTGTTAGGAAAGGACATGCCTGAAAGACACGACATTTTCTCCTTCTCTGAGGGTCAAGAAGAACATCCAAGAGGAACATTAAAAGCTGATGTTATGAGATTTTAAGACCAGTACAGGACATTCACTAAGAAACTACTTTTATTGTGAAAACACAGTCAGCTGATCGAATGCAGCTATTTCCACATCTACACTCCATCAGCTGATTATTTCTATTTGCCTCACTTTGAGCTTCACATCACTTGTGCCTTGTACTGCAGAGTTTGCAACGTCACAAATAAATGGGGCCAATCTTCAGTCAGATGTGAATGTGTAATCTAAAATTTTCTGTAAGAATAATGGACGAAAGGAATACAAATACAATTTATTGAAATGTGAACCAAAAGTTAATCAAAAATGTTTTAAATAAAAAGCACATATGGACAGAAGGTGTAAAACCTATTAAATGCTTTAGACAATGAGAAATATAAAGTTGACTGTTGAGTTGCTCAGTTTTTTTAGATTATCAATACTATTACTGTATAATTAATATATCAGGTTAAGAGGCACCTTCAAATAAAGATTGGTCTTTAAATACATTTTGTCTCTTGAATTGTTTGTCTAAAGTCAAGGATCTATAACTGGTACTTAGTTTTAATGATACAGTCTGGTTATTATGCTGTTTGGAGGAGGCCTCACAGGTAAGAGCACTAACTAGCTACCATCACATGTACCTTAGCTTGACTTAAATGTATTAAACGTATAGTTCAGTGATGGCAAAATATAAATAACTAATGCAAACATATTAATATTAGCTTGATTCCAGAGTTGAATTTAGCACAATTGCATACAAACGTCAAGGGATTTTAAGATTCTGAAGTCTTCGTTCTAAATAGAAAATAGCATGGATAATTAACAAAGGCTTTAAAAACACAGCAGGAGCCCAAGACAATTATAAAACTTGTCATTAATTCAGCACAGTTCAATTGGTTTTATTTTCATAAACGGTTATCAACCGTTAGTGCCAAAGCAGTAGGCTATAATATATTCATTACTGCTGTAGACTAGCGTTAGCTGGCTGACTGACGTTATTTTGCCGCTAAACTGCACGATATAAAACGGTGGTCTTCAAAGCGGATTTAATCCTCAATCACAATAATAATATTCAAAGTAATACTGGGCAAGTAATGGGCAAAACTTACCGTTGATTGACGCGCCATGTCAGCGGAATGGTAGCGACACGAACCGTTAGCCCCGCAGTCATCCGGTTCGACCTGACTATGGCTGTGACTGTGTGACTGACCCGAGCCTCGTCGTTCTGATAGCTCCGCCCCTTCGCTCTAACCCCCCTCCCTCCCCCCACATCTACAGGTGAAAATTACTTTTGCGACACATTTATCGCAAGTACACTGCCACAGAGCAGATTCGTCAAGTTGCAATGACTGATTTGAGAGGTTGTAATAACCAAGTTGCAGTTGTAATGGAAAATATATTTAAAAAATATGTATTTTTCTGCAAGTGAACATTTCATCTCTAAGTTCATTTTTTTTCTACAAGCTACAAAACTTTTTTTTTTCTTCTGTGACTTCAAATTTGGTTCACGGTTACGTGGATATTTTATACAAGTGTAAATGTATGCACACAAACTCAGATTTATTTTCTGCAAGTACTCACATCAGGTTTTACACGCTCTCGCATTTTGCACCATATCTACCTTCATACGAGGGGAACCAGAAGTGGTAAAGAACATGCTACATGCCAAAAATGCTAACAAATGTTACGCATTTTAGGACTCTTTCCTGCATCACTCACAGTGGCAGCAGGGTGGCCACATCTATGTGTCCTTGTTCTTTAGTCATTGTCAACCTCATGATCAAACTTCATTTAAATCTTAGTATTGTTAGACATCAGCTCCCTGTCTCCAGCATCCTCTTTGTGTTTTCTAGCATATTACTCGTAGAATTTCCTTCACAATTTCTTCAAGTTTTTACTACGTAAGATTTATTTTTGCTAAAAATGCTGTGTATGTGCTTCAGTTTGAGGCAGACAGGCGTGCCTTCATCATCACAGTGAACTCCTTCGGGACGGATCTCAGCGGAGCAGACAGGAGTGTGTTGTATCCATCTTGTGGCAAACTTTACCCTGAAGGACTGCAACTGCTGGCCAGGGCAGAGGACCATGAGCAGGTCAAAGCTGTGGCAGACTGCTACCCAGTGAGTCCAAAGTAAACACATTGCCTGCTGTTTTATGACTGCACTTAATTAAAGTCGTAAACAAGGTTAACATGAACCCTAACCTCCCTGCAGGGCTATAAGATCATTTTTGATGACCCTGAGCCAGAATCAGGATGCAAGACTCTGGAAGACAGATTCTTTGAACAAGAGGTAATATCATTTGAAGGTTCTTCAGACTTTAGTGTCCCATGAGGATGTGCAATCTAGCTGTTGAAGTTTGGGACCAATATATTTGGACCAAGCACAATATTTCACACAAAATGTACCTTGAAAGTACTCACACGAGGATTGTGGCCACTAGTGAAAATAACATCACAATGAGTTTACAGCCCTCATTGTGGTAGTAAGCATCTTCCGTAGAAGGCAGTTTGTTTACATTATTTTCACTGAGGATATGTTAGTGAACATTTTGGGATAACTAAAATATCTATCTATCTATCTATTTGTGTTGTAAGTGCCTTTCTGTGTCTGTTAGAACTCTCATTATCTATCTTTTCCCAGGTGAAGCTGAACACACTTGCTTTCCTGCAACAGTTCCACTTTGGAGTATTTTACTCCTACATCAAACTGAAGGAGCAGGAGAGTCGTAACATTGTCTGGATCGCAGAATGTGTCACACAGCGACAGAAGTCCAAGATACACAACTACATACCTATCTTCAAATAAATTAACGGAGCGTGATTGGTCCATTTTGGGGTATTTTTCTTCTTCAACATGTCTTCTTTTAGACTTGTGAAAGAAAACATCCAAAATCAACATGTAGGTGTTTATTTGAGTAACTTTGTTTATTTATGTATGTAGATTTCTCCTAAATTCACCAAAATGTAGAATTAGATAATCCCTTATTCGCATATTTAACGAAAACATCAACAGCAAAAAAACGGTAATTCAAAAAAAATGTGATTAATTTAATCAACTGGTGAAGTTTCATTTTGATTTTCTTAATTTTTGTATGTTTACCCTCTTCTCTATTAGTTCTGTCTTTAATAAACAATCGTAAGATAGCATACAACAGGTAATGCACTTTGTCAAAAACATTTGTTGATGTCTTCATAGTCCAAGTTTGCTTGTTAGGATTAGTTACTTTGGGGTAAAATAGTTTTCAGTGTTTGTATTACAGACCACAGAAAATATAAAAAATGAGGCCTTGTGATTAATAATAAACTTGCTGTAGTTAGTATGTTCACATTCACGTTCCTGGCCCAATATCTGGATGTCTAAATAGTGAGGTATAACAATGTGTAAATATACAATTAAGAACAAAATGCAATACAAATTAAAACTGCGGTCGCACTTGTGCGCGCAGTGATGAGCGGGCCCTCGCGTCCGTGCGCCTGTCGGGGAGGGCGGCAGGTCGTCCCGGCGTCAAGCAGACGTGCGCGAGTCCTGGGAAATGAGCCGTTTCTCATTTCTATAATTTTCGCGTCCCAGACTCCCAGGTCCTCCGGCAGCGACTCGGAAACGGATGTCGAAGGAAAACAAATTTCTCAAAAGGCTCGTCGAGGATCGATTATCGAGGAGGCTGTCTGTAGGAGCCGTAACCGAAGATGCACTGATTTAGAGGAGAGAGGAGTGTCTCTGGAGGAGCTATAACCGAGGGTACACTGAAGTATTCTCCTGAGACGATTTCAGCCAACGCCTTTGAAAGAGGCGTGACGCATGGCTGGACTTCTGTCAAACGAAGCACAGCTCTGCAAACTGTTCCCGTTGTGATTATAAGTTATTTGAGATGATCAAATGTGCATCAGACTTTCTGCCCTTTACAGTTTGTTTACTCACTAATCACATGTCCCCTGGATGTTAGGTGATGTTACAGTGAGAACAGCTGCTGAGGGCAGTGCAGAAAGCAGAACAGTGTGTATAATATATATCGCTCAATAACAAATGTAACAGGCCTACATGTCACACTTTATCTGTAGGCTTTAGGAGATATCTACAAATAAACATTAGGGTTAGGGTTAGGGTTAGGGTTAGCGAGGGTGTGTGTGTGTGTGTGTGTGTGTGTGTGTGTGTGTGTGTGTGTGTGTGGTGTGTGTGTGTGTGTGGTGTGTGTGTGTGTGTGTGTGTGTGTGTGTGTGTGTGTGTGTGTGTGTGTGTGTGAGAGTTGATGTGCCAGGCAAACAGGCAGGCCTCAGTAGCTTATCTGACATATAATTGGTGAAAAATGGTACATTCTCCGTTAGCCTACGAGCTCCCCGTTTGAGCGAAGGACTATTCCTTCTCAATGTAGCATGACATTGGATATGCGCTGAAGTTGTCCTGGATTGGAATTGTTCCGATCATTCCCCTATGAGGAGTTTACAGAAATGTCCTTAAAATGCATGAAAAACGGCCAATTTTCAAAATGGCCGACTTTCTGGTGGGCGGGGCTAATGGAAGGCAATTTGAAATATGTGTGCAATCATAATAGCAATATGTATACAGCGTTTCGTGAATATCGGAAAAACTATATGCGACCAGTTTGGAGCAATTTGCGCCATGTGAATAGTCAAAAATGGTGTATTCGCTGTTAGCCTACGACCTCCACGAGTAATTTTTCAAAAATGTGCTCCTGAATTAAGTATTCTATTGGATAGGGGCTAAACCTGTCCTGCATTGGAATTTTTCTGATCATTCCCCTAGGAGGAGTTTGCAAGAACGTGCGTAAAATGGCTGAAAAACGCACATTTTTCAAAATGGCCGACTTTCTGGGGGGCGGGGCTAATGGAAGGCAATTAGAAATATGTGTGCAATCATAATAGTAATATGTATACAGCGTTTCCTGAATATTGGAAAAAGTATACGCGAGTATTTGGAGTAATTTGGGACATGTAAATCGTCAAAAATGGAAAGTTCTCCGTTCGCTTACGAAGTCGTCGTTTGAACGATCAACTATTCCTTCGCAATTTAGCATCACATTGGAAATGGGCTGAACTTGTTCTGGATTGGATTTTTTCCGATCATTCCCCTAGGAGGAGTTCGCAAGAACGTGCGTAAAATGGCTGAAAACCGCACATTTTAAAAGATGACCGACTTTCTGGGGGGCGGGGCTAATGGAAGGCAATTTGAAATATGTGTGCAATCATAATAGAAATATGTATACAGCGTTTCGTGAATATCGGATTAACTATATCCGAGTAATTTGGAGTAATTTGCGACATGTAAATCGTCAACAATGGTGTATTCGCTGTTAGCTTACGACCTCCACGATTGAGCTATCAAAAATGTTCTTCTCCATTAAGTATCATATTGGATAGGGGCTGAACGTGTCCTGGATTGGAATTTTTCCGATCATTCCCCTAGGAGGAATCCGCACGAATGTGCTTAAAATGCATAAAAAACGCACATATTTCAAAATGGCCGACTTTTTGGGGGGGCGGGGCTAATGGAATGTATGTACAAATATGTCCGCAATTCCATGAGGAATATCTGTGTCAACATTCGTGAAGTTCTGAGAAACTATATGCGACTACCACACAATAGGGGGCGCTAGTGAGCAGTTTTTTTGAAAATGTACGTTTTTTTTTTACATTATGGAAAAGGTCGTGGGCTGTGACTCGTGTACCAATTTTTGCGTAACGAAAACCATTTTAGCTCATCGTCATAAAAAAAAAAGTACAGGCCACGCCCACATTTGTCATTCGTTGTGACACTTTAAATATAAGTCCATACTCATCCCCAGAGTATGTCTACAAAAAAAGAAAAATATTTCGTCCATCAGTTCATGAGTTAGACATTTGTCATGTTTTTGGCGCCCCCTATAGTCCAAAATGGAAATTACTTTTTGTGCTTCTTCCCCAATACAGACTGAACCTTACCACCAAAATGTGTGTTTTTTTGGTACATTGTTGATGAGTTATGAGCATTTCTATCTAAGCCCCGCCTTTTTGCGAAGACATTTAGAGTAATGACGACCACATTTATCAACTGAACATGCTCATTTCCTACGATAATGTGTCTGACCCTCCGGCGATACTGTATACTGAGTTTGGTGTTGAAAAACCAAAATTTGAAATTTAAGTGAATATTTAACTGTTTTTCAAATTATGGTAATTTAAAAAAAAATAAAGTAGGCGGAGCTTACGGGTACTTGGACCTTATATGTAGAGCAGGTCCACCCGAGTAAGTGTGAAAAATTTCAGGTCATTTGGAGTTACGGTGCAACTTTGTACATCTTTCCAAAAACGGAAATGGCCATAGGTGGCGCTAGAGAGCATGTTGGACAATTTGAACACATTGACTCCAGAATATCAAATTTTTCACCGATTCTGGAATCTGTGCAAAATTATACAACTTTCTCAGCATCCTAAAGGCCTGAAAATAAGCATTGAAATATGGAATAATAATAATAATACCACGAATAACAATAGGTATCCTTGCACTTCGTGCTAGGACGCCGTTGGGTCCTAGCACTCTCGTGCTCGGGCCCTAAATATAAGTAATGTAGCACAAACAGTGGTATAAAAGTGTAAATGTGTCAGTTTTAGCAGCTAACAGATATCACAAATCCGCCATGTTCACTCTTCATCAGCGCGTCCGGTCATGCTTTCACTAAATAAAAAAACAGAAACATATCAGGGCAGTTCAGAATCACGGACTTTAGAACATGGTGTGAGTCTAACCAGTCACGTCCTTGGTTGTGTAATGGCCTGACTTACAGCAGTGGACAGGGACCTCCAGAGGTATGTAGTTCTGCCGGCAGAGGTGAACAAAAGCAGATGCTAATCTACAGGGTGCTCTCCAGGAGCTCAGTTTACACACCGACCAGAACCGACCGGGATCCACCTGACAACAAAAACACTTTGTAAACATGGAGCTCAGAAACAATCACATACAGGTGATGCTCAATGCAAAGCCCTTTTATAAGATTATTATTGTAGATCAGGGGGATTCAAAGTCAAGGACTGTAGGCCTCTTGCAATGTTTGGAAAAAATTGCGCCTTCACCCTGTCTTACTTTTGCTCAATTCCAGGATGCCTTTGAGATTATGATAAGGTTATTCGAACCCTTAGACACTCAACAATGTAACCAACATATCCTTATATTGCCGTTTGACATAACACAGATTACACTAAATACATAATAGATGACATGCTAAGACTTTAATCAGTTTGGGATTCTGGGAAAGTATGAACAACTTCTCTCTGAACTATCACTCAAAAATAAATCACACACATTTAGGCTATTGCTAGTATAATGACTCATTTGACATTGCTTAAAAACTCCTTCTATGGGTTAGGCAGGTGTAAACACGTAACAATGGTCAGAAACACATGCAAAAGAAGAAACATCTCAGATCAGATATGCAGCGTTTGTTGAGCGCTTGTTGACAGTTGGCTCGTTTAATAATCCCTGAACGTCAACAAGCGTTCTTGTCCCTGTTTCCATTTTGTTTTTGCAGCTTTTTCATTTATGCAACACTTTGAAGAGTTGTTGGTGAATATTTTGTAAATGCTGCGCATGTGTTGTGAAGTTGGTGACAATGTGTTTTTCATTTGCATGTGTTTTAGCATATTTGTGTTTTAACATTTGCATAGTTTATGAAGCTGCAGCGCGTTTGTCCTAATGGAAATGTTTTGGGCCGTTGTAGCGCGGTTGCACTTGTCGGCCACCCTAGATTTGAGATTGAAGGCATACTCTTTACATACTTTTTTTCTGTTGAATTTATACTGTGTGGAAAATATAAATAAATAAATAAAATAAGTAAGTAAAATATATATTTTACTAGTAAATGTATTTTGAACTAACTACATGTATGCAAAACGAGTAAATAAATAAAAAGTTTAAATATCTATACACTGTATGTTTTTTTCACTTTCCTTCGCTGAGCCTCCACTGAAATTGCGTGAAGCTCCCTTGGGATGCTGGTCTCACACTTTGCTTTAGATAAACATATGTATATTTGGTTTTCATTACTTCTGGCAGGACTAAGAAGTTAAATTGACACTCATTGACACAAGTTCTTTAGCTTCATCTACCCTATGAGTGGAGTTCAGTACAGATGGATCATGTTTGTTCTGACACATTAACATTGCTCATCATGTCCGGCTAATTATTTTATCTTAGCCATGAAATCCATTAGCATCAGTTAGATCTGCCAGGTAGGCGCTGTGCCAGACACATGTTTTTAAATTGTGTAACATCCACATCCATCCTCACAAGACGATGATAAGGCTCATTAATAACATACCGCTGGGTAAGAATTATTCACTCGCACGAGCGTGTTTGCACTCACCACCCTGAAACAGGAGCTCAGCGGGGAATCAGGAGAGGAGAACAAAGAGTCACAGCTGGCTGCTTGAGGGAGGTGCTCTGTTACACCTGGAATACAATCCAGATTCATCTGAAAAAAAAAACGTTCTTGAAGGGTTGTGTCTATTGTATATAATTGAAGTACAAACACTGACAGTGTCTCACTTGTCCAACCTGCCAACTATGGAAGAACTCCTCCAAGTTTTCAGCCTGAGAACCATCAAGCAAAGGAAAATCGTTCCCGGCTTCATTGTCATTCGTTCCCAACAGACCAGTGGACACACCTATGTAGAAGAAAACATGTTGTTCCCAATAATGAGGATCAGTAGGATATTTAATCTCAGGACTCATGTCAAATCTTTCGTTTTAGACCTACCATGCAACCATCCATCGAGAGTGAAGCTGCACAGCTCAAGCAACAGGTCACATGACACTGACGCCCCATTCTGATTGGACACCTGCACAATGTTTGACCCTCTTCTGACAGTTACTCCATTGTCACTGTGAAATGTGCGCGTAACATCGTGGTTACAATTGGCCTTCACCTAGGACACAAACATGTATTTTATTTATTTTTAAAGGCACGTTGAAAGAAATCCGTCTGCTGCAGTTTTCATTTTGTTCTCTGAATAAACACAGTCCACTCTTCTAATTCTTTGGAGTCCCCAGCATTAACACGTACCTGTCCATTGTGCTGAATGGTGACGGTGCTGTTATTCATTTCTATGAGAAGGAAGTCTGTATTGCGCAGCAGTGTAAATGAAGGCTCAGCGCTGACGTCTTGAGCAAGGAGCAGTGCACAGGAGGGGGGGAGCTCATACAGATGACCATCAAATGTCACCACAAACTGATCCGCCACCAACAGAGCTTGGTCTGAAAGAGAAAAACAGAAAGAGAGAGACATCATTAGAATTACAAGATTAAAGGAAATATTTCACCTACAAAATCTAATTTACCCAGTTGTATGCTCACGATCTAAAACACATGCATTTTCATTGAGACCTTACTATTTAAATGTCTCAATGAAGTGGAAGAGGTCATATAATGGAAAACTCAAAGGGACATTTGTGATGCCCGAGTGGGTTCATCAGTGGAGAGGGTGTGGCTGTCCTGTCTTGGCTGCATTGATTGCAGTGATTGCATTAACTCAGGGCACCTGGGTCTGGTGCTCTGCAGCTATTTTAAAGCCTCTCTGCTCCTGTCTGGTCTCGCTCTGTTTTCCTGCAGGCACCCGGCTCTGATGAGTATAACCAATGTGTTGAATTGACCAGTGTTGTGCAAATAAACACCTTTACCTACCCGTTGACATGTTGTGTCTCCTTTTTGTTGTGGCCTTTTGAGCCAGGTCGCAACAAATGGGGGCTCGTCCAACGGGTTATTTATTTAAAAAGTTTGTGTAGTGCTCATTGAGCAGCTGATTCATTGTTGTGGTCCAGCTGTGTGCTGGCTCTGCGCTGCTATTTGGGGGACACATCATGTCTTTTGGGTTTCAGGATGCTTTAGTGTTTGACATGGCATCAGGTTTTGTGTGCCAATCAGAAGGTAAGATATTGCTGTTTGTTACGCTTTTGTAAAAGAGATTTTCCCCGCTAGGCTTAAGTGGCGTTTCCCCTTGGGTTCCGTCTGTTTGTTTTTTTCATAGTGTTGTGGCGACGTGGTTGGTGTCAGCTGTTTTCGGACAGCTGTCTCGGGGGCACATCCGCGTGATTTCTTGGTGTTACCTGCGTGCAGGTCGCTCCATAAATCCGCCGGGTTCCAGTGCGTAATTACCCGCCGCAAGCCACATGAAGACTAGGTGAGATTAGGAAGATTTTGGTAAGGCAGTTAGGGGGGAATTCTCTGTTGGGTTTTGTCTTTTCGCCCAGGCGTGTTGACAGTTGAGTACTTTGCTTTCTGATTGGGTATAGGCAATATATTATGGCTTCTTTGTCAGCGTTTGTGGATGCGCCCTCAGTATCTTTCTTGGATGGTTGCCAGAAGGCGCAGTTGATCGAAATAGCAGAGCATTATGAAATTGCTGTTGTAGGGAGCAAGCGGAAACATGACATTAAAGCTGTCATCGTGTCATCTTTGTTTGAGCGGGGAGTGTTACAGAAGAGTGAGTCTGGTGTGGCAGGGTTCAGACAGCTGGTTTGACATTCGAACAGCAAAAGGAGCTTTTGGCCATGCAATTTAATCAGGAGAGATTGCAGTTGGAGTTGAAGTTGGAGCAGGAGAAGTTGCAGTTGGAGATGAGGGGTCAGCAGCAGGAGGTAGAGAAGCGTTTAGAGGTGGAGAAGGTGCTGGAGGTGGAAAAGATGAAATGTGAGGTGGAACATGCTAGATTACGGCTGATGGGAGAGGGCAAGTTTTCTCCAGGGGAGGATGGTGGTGCTAGGTTAGCATCAGGCAGTGGCGATATAATTTCTTACTTGCGATTGGTGCCAAAGTTCAATGAGCGTGACCCGGACATTTTTTTCACTCTATTTGAACACATAGCAGAGGCAAGAAACTGGTCAGATTCGGACAGAGTGCTGTTACTTCAGTGTGTACTCACTGGGCGAGCACAGGAAGCCTATTCAGCTATTTGTGGCGAAAATACTTTGGACTATGATAGAGTAAAATCAGCGGTGTTGAAATCTTACGAACTGGTTCCTGAAGCGTATCGTCAAAGGTTCAGAAGTGGGGTCAAGGGAGATAAGCAGACACATGTGGAGTTTATCCGTGATTTAACTTCTCATTTTCAGCGGTGGTGCGCGGCAGCAAAGGTTGCAAGTTTTGACGGTCTTTGTGAGCTCATTGTCTTGGAACAATTTAAAAACATTCTCCCTCAGCGTGTGGCCACGTATGTGAATGAACAGAAACCTCCCACCGCGTTTAGAGCTGCTGAATTAGCGGACGATTTTGTGTTGACACATAAGGGCAGTTTTGCGGAGAAATATTCTAGGGGTGATTGGAAACGTGGAGAAGACAATGGAGATGCCCGTGCAAAGTTTTCACCAGGCTCCTCTTGTAGATTTGCAGGTACAGGGCGACCCGAGGGGGCCAAAGTGGACCAATGTCACTATTGCAAAGGTGGGGGTCATTGGAAGGAGCAGTGTCCATTGCTGGAAACGAAGGGGAAGCCTCGTTTGTCACCACATGCTCCAGCCATGTGTTGTTCTGCCGTGGTGGATAAAAAACCGTTGGGTGTAGGCTCGGGCATGGTGCCTGATAAGAAGCCGGTTTGTGCCGACCCGGATGCGGGTTCTGGTTTTGAGCCGTTCATCACTGAAGCGGTAGTATCAGTAGTCGGTAGTGACAAATATGTGCCGATTAAGGTGTTGCGTGATACAGCGGCTAGATACTCATTCATTGTTGAGTCAGTGTTGCCTTTTTCGTCAGAGACAGAAACGGGGGATTTTGTGCTGATGAGGGGCATGGAGATGGGCTTGATCCCTGTGCCACGGCATACAATAGTGCTGGATTGCGAACTGGTGCGGGGAGTTGTGTCTATCGGGGTGCGTCCCGCGTTGCCACTCGATGGGATACATATGATTTTGGGCAACGATCTCGCTGGTAGTGCTGTGTGGGCTGGTGTGCCACCGCCTGTGGTGGTTTCCAGGCCGGTGGCATCTGGGGAGCCAGATGAGAGTGGTTTGCAGTTTCCAAGTGTGTTTCCAGTTTGTGCGGTGACACGTGCACAGAGCCGTAAAATGTCTGCTGACCCACATGTTTCGGAGTGTAGCAAAAGTAATGTGGTACATGTGGTCTCACTGCCTGATCTCCCTTCGTCGGTGTCAAAGGAGGACTGGGTCAGGAGTCAGAGGGACGATTCATCTCTTTCTGCTCTGTGGACTGAAGTGTTGCCGGCAGAGAAGGTCAGAGACATAGCCCAGGGTTACTTTGTTCAGGGGGACTTGCTGGTGCGTAAGTGGGTGCCCTGTGTTGGTGATGCTGTGGGGGGAGGCAATTTTTCAGGTGGTGGTGCCGAGTAGCTTTCGTGATGTGATATTGCAAACTGCGCATGATAGTGGGGGACATTTGGGGATAAAAAAAACCTATGACCGTGTCCTACGCTATTTTTTCTGGCCTCGGTTAAAGCGCGATGTTGCAAGTTATATTAAAGCATGCCACATATGTCAGTTCACTGGTAAACCAAGTCAGGTGGTGAAGCCTGCACCCCTCAGTCCCATTCCAGCCCTTGGTCAACCTTTTGAGCATTTGATCATAGATTGTGTGGGTTCATCAGTGGAGAGGGTGTGGCTGTCCTGTCTTGGCTGCATTGATTGCAGTGATTGCATTAACTCAGGGCACCTGGGTCTTGTGCTCTGCAGCTATTTTAAAGCCTCTCTGCTCCTGTCTGGTCTCGCTCTGTTTTCCTGCAGGCACCCGGCTCTGATGAGTATAACCAATGTGTTGAATTGACCAGTGTTGTGCAAATAAACACCTTTACCTACCCGTTGACATGTTGTGTCTCCTTTTTGTTGTGGCCTTTTGAGCCAGGTCGCAACACATTGTTTTGGGTAAAGTATTCCTCTAAGTCCTAAAGTTGCAATGCGTTTCTTACTGAAAAATGTGTCTTACGTTTAAACGAGCTGTCCATCATCTTCCTTTTGAGGCGGTAAAGTTCAGCTGTGGGCCTGACAGTGGCGAGGGTCTGCAGGGGTCTCAGGAGCCACTCCTCTAGAAGGATTTCTACCAGTCCAGCCTCGGACACCCTGGACCAGGAGAGCGGTGGCAGCGGCACTGACACAACCACTGAACACTCACTGAAAAAAAAAACAAGGCAACTAGGTTAAAAATATCTTACTGGAATAATTTTCTTATTAAGTTACATCTTTTTTTAAGATTTATATATATAATGTAACAGCAAATACACAACTATGAAGTTTGAGTTTATATACAATTTCACTACAGTGAGGGACACAGGGGACACAATTGTATGTATACAAATGAAAAAGTGGATTTTGCATAATAAGTGTCCTTTAACTACTTCATGACAGAATATTGGAGATAAAGCCGCACATGAAAATCAGGAAATCTGTCAACCCTTAGCTCATCCACCTGTCATTCAGAGGACATTCCAACTTGGTCTTTAAAACCTGTATTTTAGGCAGGTGGTCAGAATATTTTATCATTATTAACTGCTCCCTGTCTTTTGCCACTTTTTACCCCTTCTTGAAGAAACCATGGTTAAAAGTATCTATTTTTTTTACACATTGTAGGCCTATCTCCAAGCTTTTGTTTTTATCCAAGATTTAGGAATACAAATGTCACCACACAGTTGATTTATTTATGTTTAACAAAAATCTTACCATTGAAAAAATGTAATCTGGTTTTCAAGCTTCACACGACACATGGTTTTGAAATGACTTACTGCTTGTATCTGTCATTTGTGGAGCCTCTCGTGATCCTTACTTTTGTGGGTGCCCCCCAGGGCTCTATACTGGGTCCTCTTGCCACTAACTTGCTATCCCTGGTGCAAACCATGCCAAGTATAGACCTTAAATGATATGTAACTGTATGTCCCTTAGAATCTGACACAACTAATGTTTCCTTTATGTCTTGGCTCAATAATAATAAGAATAGGACATCCTAAAATGTTGTAATTTCAAAAAAGAGTCCCGCAACCTGGTAGTTATTTTCAACTCAAGTCCTTATTTTCTTCTGCAGAGTAAGGAAAGGCCTTCATGCTTTTATCTCCTCCAGAGTTAACTACCGCAGTGCTTTGAATTGTGCTATCAGCAGGCAACACATCTAAGAATACTAGGCAGAGAAACTCAATAACCTCTATCTCTTCTTAAATCTCACTTTTATCTTTTAAACCTTTTCTTAAAGACAGAGTATTTAATTTCACATTTTTTATATAGTTTTATATCTTTCTTTCATTATAATTAAAACTCAAGAAAGAATATGTCCCTCCACTGACCTCTGTTCATAACTGAATGAAAGGAATGTTTAAATAAAAAATGGGTTTCATGGAGCTTTTCTATATGTTTGTGTGAGACATGTGCAGTACCTGGGGGAGAATTTGTAGACAGAGGCCAGGCGTTTCCTGACCCCAGACAGAGCCATCGCCAGCCTGGTCTCCACCCAGTGGTAGGCATGCTTTCCTGCCTGGTTCGCAGAACACCATCAGTCATCATTCCATTTTACAAGTTTATCATCATATGACAGGGCAGGGGGCAGCGGATATGGCTTGGGTAAATGTCCAATTGGCTTCTTGTTGTCACGGTAACCAGGGCTATGCTTAGTTCAAGGTTGTTCTACACAAATATGTGTGTGCGTGTGTGTGTAAACTAAAGTAAAGTAAAATGAACATTCTTCTACTTTATATTTACCAATTTTTTATTACATAACTTGAGAGGATTTCGCATCACTACAAATAGATTATGGTGGTAAAAGTATCCCAGTTTATGCAGGTTTTAACAACACCAGGTCAAGAGCTCTTTCAGGTTTTTGAAACTTGGATATTTAGATGCAGACGACATAAACAAGTTACCCTACTGCAGTGGTTCTCAAAGTGGGGGTCAGAGGCATGACAGGGGGGGTGCGAGAGACCAGGGGGGGAAATGGTTATTACAACAAAAAAAAATCATATTTTGAAAAATTATTGATTGAAAATAATATGATACAGTACAGTACTATTACGTCTGGGTCTCTGTGTTTCATTAAAGCTCGGCTCTGTGTGTGTGTGGAACGAGCCATTTTGTGTGCGTGCACGAGCGAGAGAGAGAGAGAGAGAGAGAGAGAGCGCACCGGTACCGGAGATCATAGTTGTTAGCTTCTGGTGCTAGCGAGCTACGCTAACGGATATACTGTAAGGAGTTTTTTCAACAACAAAGTGGAGGAGAGTCCTATCCTGTCAGACTGAGAGACTCAGTGAGCTAAAGGATTCTCTCAGTGTTATCTCAGTGGGTCTCAAACGTTTTGGTCACCATTAATGTAAACAATTATTTCCGAGGCACACGTTTATATGATCATTATAGTTATAAAAAAATAAGAGAATAAATGAAAAACAGGTATGAAATACTATATGACAGTAAAAAAAGAATAAAGTTTAAAAGGGGAGTGATTTGTAAAATATCCATAAAGAAATAGTAAATCTGTTTCCAGTTCTGTTTCAAATGGGTGTTGAGAGATGTATCCATAGATCTCTTCATTTTGCTCTCAACGTGCACCAGATTGATGCTTTTAACTTCAATATTTAAAAATCTTCCCGGGGGAGCTTGCCCCCGGACCGCCCTATGTGAGGTCCACACACCACCTATAAAAATAGCACTTTACCCCTGCTTACACCTATATGCCGTGAACTGATTATCGAGCCTTCATTGTAACAGTCGCGGGTACATTGTGTATTTGCGTGGGGAATGTTGCAGTAGAAAATTTCACTGTAGCGACCGGTACATTAATGGGAAACCCTAAATGTTTGAGCACCCTCTATGAAACGTCAAGCTACCCCACAGCACACCAAAATAAATCTCTGGCGCCGCCACTGAGCCTGACTATTTGTGTTGGGGGGGCCCGACTTTTTTTTTTCTCCAAAGGGGGGGCCTGACAGAAAAAGTTTGAGAACCACTGCCCTACTGTAACCCAAAACCTAACTCAGATTGTAGTTCTTAAATATCAACACATTATTTTAGTCAGCGAAATAGAATTTACCAGGGCTGTCAATGTTAACGAGTTGTTCAAATATCTTCTGTAATTCCAGCATAGATGTTTACTATGAATCGCATGGCAGTGCAAAGGCAAACAAAATGGAGAAGTCGGCACGAGCTATATGTATCTGCAGACTGGAGACCACTGGACATCAGTGAGCAATGGAACACCTCATCCATCACAAATGGCAACTGCACTTGTTGGCTTTAGATGTGGTTAGTACAGAGGTAAGGCACTTTGCTGAACCATGCTCCTGTAGTTGCACAGGAGTGGGAGAAAGCAGACAGTCTCCACTGTAGGACCGACAGATAGAGCCCACAGTATGATAGCGGCAGAGATAACATGCCATGCATGTGTAGCGCACATTATATGAGTGGTATCACAGCGGCTCTCTGTGACATCAGCTTTGTCGATGCTTTAGCTGTCAGACTTCATGCCATAAATTCAGATATCATGTTATAATAAAGTAAAAAACCCTATGATTTCTATTAGCAGTTTGTCATACATTTCTTAATTACACACCACACGTGGTTTTTTTCCCCCCCAAATACGAGTAAACACTAGTTTGAACTATATTATTTTATTTAAGTGTTTTAATCGTTGACAGCACTAGAATTTGCTAATCTTACTATAACATTTGATGCTAGGAAAAAAATATTTCTCACCACATCCAGGGCGGCGCTGAGCGTGGTGACCCCAGCCTGAGCCAGGGGCCTCAGCTGAGGGTTCCCAATCAGCACAGGGAGGACATGCATCAGCCCGTCAGTCCACAGAGAAACAGCCTCCCTCCACAGGGCCTCCACCCTCTGGCCCTTCACATCTTGGTACACACCTGCCAGAGTGGCCAGGGGCCCTGAGAATAGAGCAAAAATGCATTAAGATGAGAGCAGCAGATAAACAGTATTATCACATTCAAATAACTCAAATGGAAAGTAGGGGTAAAGTATCCTGACAAAAGAAACATTGTGAAAAGATGCTTCTCATGCGTCATATAATGACGCAAAGGAAAAGATAATTAGTTTGTGATTTCATGAAGAAATTCGATTTCTGGCTTTGAGGAAAGGCAGGGACTGACTGCATCACTCAAAAAGTCAAATTTAACTCCGCTGACCATATCAGTGTAGCGCTTATTAGCCCGTGGACCTGTCTGTCCTAGAAGCAGGCTTAGACCTACTTTACACTTTATTGTGCCCCAGGAGGAAATTCCTTACAGCACCGTACACATCACAGAGCAGTACACATGAACACCAGTACACACTCCTATCCAGTGAGGCCAGTTGTTCAAAGGGAAGATTGGAAGTTTTGAAGTGGGGTTGTATTAGGAACTTATCTTTAGAAAGTGTGAGCACCTGTAGCTCTCTGAAGAGATGGGTGATGTCATTTGTGTACTTAATTATAATTAAGTACTTACAGTATGCAGAAATCTGAGTATTCTCTGAATCGGGTGCCTTTTGGGTCTTTTGAAAAATGAAACCAAAATGTTTGGTCATAACATCTGGTAGTGGACTACTTACATGTTCCCACCTCAGGCACAAAATATAAATAATTACTAGGAATTTCCTTGAAAAAATGTAACAGGGTTGAAGTTTTTGACAAAAAGTAGGCATGAGACCTTGTTTAGCTAAGATATGGCACCACATGGAAATCAAGGACATTACAAAATTGTAATATTTTGCAAAACTATTGTTTATTTTTGTAATAAACAATTATTTACTATTATGAATTCATATAACATAGTTGAAATGTTGAGCTTGTCAATCTTAATCTGAAAATACAAAAACTGAAATATAGGTAAGAGAATAAACTGACACTTTTGTGATGTAATTCCCTCAATGCAGATCACACATGGACTGATCCATTATTTTAATAGGAGGGTAAATGGTATAGCGTGACGGGGTTGAAACAAACTGAGGGACAATATTGCAATTTCATAGATAATTCAAGTATTTATTCAGAATTGATTTTTGATCAGTTAAAGTTGACAAGCATATGATTATATTAGCAGCAACATTTTGGGATAATTGGCCATTTTGATTTGTTTAATATTAAATTAATATGTAATAATGCTTAGTGAGGACATGCAAATATGTCTGTCTAAGACAACCAATTTTTGTGTCTGTCTAAAACAAAATATATATTTAATTTTACATTGTAATGCAAAACAACCTGTTCCATTAATTCATTGCTTTAAAATACATTTTGTAGTTTCCTTTCATTTAAAATGGTTGAGGTAAGCTTGGGGGACTCAAAGGGCACCTGATTGTTTGTCTGAACACCTTGTTTCTCTTGTGCATTAAGAACACTTGTGTTAGGGCATGAATTAACAATAAATAGGTTATATACAGTATAAAATACCACGTACTGTCCGCCCTCCTATGCCACCCTGGCATGACCTCTTGCCTCCCCTTTGCCCCCCCATGTAAAATGTTCTAGAACCGCCACTGCACTTAACCCAAAGTTGCTCAGGATGTCAAGGTAAGTCCGAGGGAATGTTTGAGAGATTGTATGAATAATTTGCATGAGCAAGTGGCACCTTGTGCGGCAGCCTCTGCCTCTGTCTGAATGTGTGCAAATCGGGAATGCTCACCTAAATGCAAAAGTGCTTTGAGAGGTCACAAATACGGTGGCCGACAGGAGCAAATGCGCTACAACGGTCCAAAACATTTCCATAAGGAGAAACGCACTGCAGTTTCAAAAACACTGCAAATGAAAAAACACGAATGAGCCAAAACACATGCAAATAAAGAAACATCTTCACCTACTTAAAAACACATGCGCAGTGTTAACTAAAAGCGCTGCATAAACAAAAACTCTGCAAATAAAAAAACGCTGCAAGAAGCTAAAAACACAACGAAAATCAGGGGACACTAAAAAGTGATGCACACACTGGCCAACTGTCACTGGCCGTTTCTCAATTGCGAGGATGCTTGCTTGGTAGCACATGTCTTCCGAGTCACATCCTTCAGAAGCTAGGCAAGAATCCTTCCTGGCATTCGGAAAACGAAGAGTGGAACAGGCTAGCAAGTGTGCGTCATATGAGAGGCCCCGCCTTACATTTTCCGCCACAGATTTGGGGAAATTGGTCCGTGCGCAAAGCATTGTGGGGATTTGAAGGACGCGAAGTCTACCCATGTGCAGCCTCGAAATTACTATTTGTTTCCGATAGCTATGAATTCTAGGACATGCCTTTTAGTTTAGGTTAGCCCTTCAACACATGAGGTGGTGATTATGTGGCGAGATACAGTCTATATTAATTACCGGTTTTAGAGGCCTTATTGTTGAGCTCTGTGAAGTTGGGTGTGGGTGATTAATTATACAGGCGGGGATGTTGGCTATGGGTATGTGAACAAAAGTAAAGACGCAAGAGTAACTCCATGTTAAGGAGGCCCTATTATGCTTTTTGGGATGTTCCCTTTCCTGTACTGTGTGTTTTTTGTGAATGTAAAATGTAAAGGCTAAAATCCCTGTGTTCCCTGTGTTCCCTCTAGACCAGGGGTTCTCAAAGTGCGGCCCGCGGGCCAATGGCGGCCCTCGGAAATGTTTCTGGCGGCCCGCAATATTTAATGTGACACGCTGAAATGCATGCGTTATATTTGAATCCTCCATGGTTGTATCTAGTAAGAATTAGAATGAGTAGCTTTCCAGCAGTATCTCCTGTGAGACTGTAACCAGGGCACAGCAGCCAATATGGCCGCTCAAAGCAGCTTGACTTTACACTGTGTGGGATTGGTGGATTTGTGTGTCCGTCAAGGAAATCTCGGCCGGCAGCCATCATGGTCTGAAATGACCAATGGACATCGAGAAATCACTAAGGGCCTACCCACCAAGTAAAAAAAACATAAACCACGTGTCTCCCATCAGTTTACATCTGTGAGGAGAGAGAGAGAGAGAGAGAGACAGATAAAATGGCTAAAAAAAACTTTACAGTTGCCGACTTCGCTAGAGATTTTTTTCGCTAGCAGCAGTGAAGATAGAGCCTCAGAACCTGAATTCTTCGACTCTTCTGAAGAAGAAGAATACAAAGACAACAACAAGGATCCATTTGGACATGGGTAAGTGTAAATATTACAGTAATAGTGTACTGGCAATGTGTGGGGAATACCGCGAAAATGAACAATAGGTTTATTGATATATATTTTGTATCGATAGTCATGAACTTTTTATTGGAACAAAATAGACTCTCCATTAGCAAACGTTTACTCTGTGTTAACGTTATTTTGGTGTGTAAAAGTGAGATTACATGTGTAGATGATTAAATTAATCATTTATTCATCCCACAACGGAGACATTTACAGTGACATGTTTTTGCCATCGATTATTTTATCATACTGTTCTGTATAGATTTATTTATATGTGTGCCTGTTATTATTTTACCGTCCTGTACAGATGAGACTTTGTAATCAGATGTAGCCTATGTATATGTGTTTCTGTGATTTTATACTGAATGTAAAGTAACTGGAAATACCTGTCTGTGTGTGTGTGTGTGTGTGTGTGTGTGTGTGTGTGTGTGTGTGTGTGTGTGTGTGTGTGTGTGTGTGTGTGTGTGTGTGTGTGTGTGTGTGTATGTGTGTGTGTGTGTGTGAGAGAGAGAGAGATCGAGAGAGACTCCTTCTGCAACCTCCCAAACTCTCCATCTGCGGCTGCCACCAGGTCAAGATACACCTCAGCACAAAGGCTCCACCACAGCCATCACCTTCAACCCAGCCAGAAAGGAGGTCTCGTATAGCACTTGTACACCCCACCTACACAGCAGCCCATGCACCATCACCCCCACCTACACAGCAGCCAGACCCACTGTCTTGGAAGACAGACAAAGACCTTGACACTGTCTTGACATTTATAATGAATAGTTGGTTGAAAGTTCTGATGTTCAATATTGTAAATAGTGAGATTTTCCAGTTTCTTATATTTATATAAATAGTTGGTTGAAAAAAACATATTTCTAATAAATTGTTGGTTGAAAAAAAAAGGTTGAATGCTCAATTTGTATTTGTACACATCACATGAACCTTGGTATGTGATATGAAGTCATTATTCAGTCCTAATGTATCTCAGTCCCTGCTGTGGTGAAAGTAGAGTGATAAATACCTATTTTACTAAAAATTTGAATTTAATGTTTTTCATTTTAGACATGAATAACACATTTATATACAGTGTAATTCAAATATTTCACTGCTTTTGTGATCCTAGGACTTTGGTAACCAAATCTAAAATACCAAAACAATTCGATCACATGAGTAAATTTGTGTTTTCACAAGAGTTTTGAAGATTTTCCAAAAATCAGATTTCACATTTTAAGCTTTTGAGCTACTTATCTCATCAAACAGTGCTCTAAGGTGAGCAATATGCATATATAGCAAGACCAGAGATTGTCCTGAACATTTTGATATTTAACACATGGGGTGCCATGTTAGAAGAAATACATTTAAAAGGTGATTTAAGAAAACATCTAAAAATCGAGAAAATACCCTTAGACTCCAGAGGGTTAAGAATGGTAAAACTGCGCCCCCTGGGTTGTCATTCATAAATTATGAATGACAGCTTGTGGAAAGTTTGCTAGACTACTGGTTGCATGGCAACTAGGCATCTCGCGAGTTGCGGTAATTGGTTAGTACAATAAAGAAAGGATTTGTTTTGGAATTATTTTGTGTTCCGTTTTTTCTTGGGCGGCCCTCAATCCAATATTGGGTACCTAAATTGGCCCTCACTCATCAAAACTTTGAGAACCCCTGCTCTAGACTGAGTCCCCAAGCTAAGACGCCTCCATTGGACTCCTTTATTATGAGGACATCCCTATGTAACACTTGCTTCTATTGGCTAGCACTTCAACACATTGTATGTGATAGGCTAAGGGATACCAATCAGGGCACACTGGGCTCTGGTTTCAGACAGAGGGTGAAAAGAGGTGCTGCAGCACAGGCAGTATGAGAAAAATAAAGAGCTTTTTGAACATTAAAGCATGGAGACATGTGAGAGTAGAGGCACAAAATATAAAGATGAACCTGAATTTAGCCGAATATGTCCTCTTTAAAGCATTATTTTCAAGTGAAAGAACCACAATGTTTTTCTTAAGGAAAAGTAAAGTATTGGCCAAACCAAAGCAGCACGAGAGCGTCCTATCTCTTTTATCTGCTCTCTTAATCTTTCTCAATTTCCTTTTCAGTGACACAAAATGCACGACCCCATGGAGGCAATGTCTGCCATGTGACCCCTGTGGACTCACTCCTCAGTTCCTGTTGTCCCAGCAGAGAGGCGTGCTGCAGCAGGCTGAGGAGGCGCGGCAGGCTGTCGGTAAAGACGCGGCGCAGGGGGCTGTGCTGCCACAGAGCAGGCAGACCCCCCTGTCTGTGCTGCAGCAGAGCCTGAGCATGCTGGGAAACATGAAGCGGAAAGGCACTCAGCTCCTGAAGCAACTCGCTGTCCCTGGACTGTGGAGAGAAGGTTGCCAAGTTCAAAACATTTAAATGCATTTGTTGACGTAACTTATCCTGCAGTAATTTGTCTACCTGCCGTCTGAATTCCACGAGGAGATGCTGTAACGTCTTGACTCTTTGCAGCAGCTTGGTCTGTATGCGAGTGCTTAGATATTGAATCCGTGCCTGTGAAAACAAAAACATATTGAACAGATTCTGAATGATTTGAACTTATTATTCTCTTCACGGATCAACTCTATGGAATAATAGAATGATTACATTTAATGGGGAATTGTTACGAGGAAGGCATTTTCTTTGTTTATGATCTGTCCGATTGCACTGGTCACTTTATTTCTTAAACAATTTGAAAATACAGATATAACAGATAAAAAAAGTATACATTGCAGGAAGAGGCAGAAAACCAAATGGTCTTATTTGAAGCCTCCACCTATGATGAAGGTAGATATGGTGCAAAATGCGAGAGCGTGTAAAACATGATGTGAGCACTTGCAGAAAAAAAATCTGAGCTTGTGTGCATACATTTACACTAAATATCCACGTAACTGTGAACCAAATGTACACTTGTATAAAATATCCACGTAACTGTGAACCAAATTTACACTTCTATAAAATATCCACGTAACTGTGAACCAAATTTGAAGTCACAGAAGGAAAAAAAAGTGTTGTAGATTGTAGGAAAAAAATGAACTTAGGGATGAAATGTTCACTTGCAGAAAAATACATATCTTTTAAATATATTTTCCATTACAACTGCAACTTGGTTATTACAACCTCTCAAATCAGTCATTACAACTTGACGAATCTGCTCTGTGGCAGTATAAATCGACGAATCTGCGGTCTTGACTTTTGCTACACTTCTTGCGATAAATGTGTCGCAAAAGTAATTTTCACCTGTAGATGTGGGGGGAGGGAGGGGGGTTGGAGTGAAGGGGCGGAGCTATCAGAACGACGAGGCTCGGGTCAGTCACACAGTCACAGCCATAGTCAGGTCGAACCGGATGACTGCGGGGCTAACGGTTCGTGTCGCTACCAGTCCGCTGACATGGCGCGTCAATCAACGGTAAGTTTTGCCCATTACTTGCCCAGTATTACTTTGAATATTATTATTGTGATTGAGGATTAAATCCGCTTTGAAGACCACCGTTTTATATTGTGCAGTTTAGCGGCAAAATAACGTCAGTTAGCCAGCTAACGCTAGCTTTGTTGAGTTTACGCTAGCTGAACAAGTAGTGGTTGTGGTCTACAGCAGTAATTAATATATTATAGCCTACTACTTTGGCACTAACGGTTGATAACAGTTTATGAAAATAAAACCAATTGAACTGTACTGAAATAATGACAAGTTTTATAATTGTTTTGGGCTCCTGCTGTGTTTTTAAAGCCTTTGGAAATTATCCATGCTATTTTCTATTTAGAACGAAGACTTCAGAATCTTAAAATCCCTTATAGGCCTGTGACAAACAGCCAAAAAGGGCTTTAGGTTTCGAGATACCGTTCCCGGAGTTAGGATAAAACACAACTTACTTTTTCCTCATCTCTAAGGCCTCCCATACTTGAAATGGATTGTTGTATACAAATATTTTACTGCAAAAGTGGTGAAATTGATATATAAAGTTATACACCCCAAACTAAAAATAAAGCCTGGCCGTCTGGGGGTTGAGGCATATAAACTCATGTAGATTCACAATGGAAGGTCTGATAGGTTTAAAACTTGGCATACCTGAGGTCAGGACATCCCTCTGCATTATAGAAAAGACTGAATGTCAATATCTTACTGTAAATTGGAGATACAGTCATTTGAACACATACCTACAATAGGCGGAAATGTAAATCTATGTAGAACGTTCTCTTTACTTTGTAGTGACTCTGACATGGATTGCCATAGCAACACATATGAGGGCTTGTTGGAAAGGTGTGGTTCTACTGAATCCAGCAATACTAATTGTGTAAAGGTAGCTTACATACTCATGCAGTTATGTCACTAAACGTATAAGGTGTCCCAAATGGGGAAAATATGAAATAGTCCTAATTAAATCTATAGTATCACCAATTAGTTTTATTTTGACTTCACTTATCAGGGGTGGAAAATAATAACAAATTATCTTGAGTAGAAGTCCCTAAAAGGTATGACAACTTGAGAATTGTTATTTTTTTAAGTAAAATATTGCAACTTCAACATTAGTGCAGAGAAAATGCAGGCCTAAAATGCAATAGAACTACTAACGAAGTAGTAGTAGTTGGACATCAGCTCGTCGCGGGCGATGTTGGTGGTCAGAAACTGATCCACTAAGAACTGCAACACCTTGATTTTACAACTCAAGCTTATGCTCCTCATAACAGCAAGTCATTCAGCTCTGTAGAGAATCAAGAAGTTATACTACAGTATTTGACTCCACCTGCTTTATCTGCATCTCATTGCCTTCGTGGGTTTCTTCACAAACTAGGGTTAGGGTTAACCCTAACCCCTAACCCAGGGACAGGTAAATCATTGCAAATATTTTTGGACTGTGAAATGATGGGACCTTGTCAAATAAAATGGCTAATTAGCTAACTGGAAAGTGACCCAGCTTAATGTTTCATTAATGTAACAGAGCCTGTCCAGTAGCCTATATTCACAATAAACTCTGTTTCTCCTGGCTTAATTAGTATCACTGGTAACAATACTGTAAATAGAGCCTAACAAAAACAGTTTAAGTACAACATAGATACTGTACAAATTCTGAAGTGTATCTTTTTTCTTTTTTTTCAATTTTACCAGAATGGAGAGTGATGTACAAACAGTGGATCCAAATGGTATGGTAAACATTTTGAAAAAGGGAAGAAACAAGATCCATATGTCAAAAATCCCACAGCAGAAGGCCTCCAACGTATACGAAATGTTGCTCAACAGAGAGATGATGATGTTCATAAAACTCTCTCTCCATATACAGATGATATACTTTCGTTTAAAATAAAGGTGTCATGTAGAGCAAACTACTCCAGTAAGACCAATATCAGTGAGCAACAAGTTGCAAATGTTGAAAGTGAGAGCATACCTGCATCAGTCTCTTCAAGAAGACTGAGTAGGGTTGATACATTATCGTTTGACATACGAAGAGATTGTTTCATTTGTGGGAGGGCCAGATCAAGACCAGAACCTCTGACAGCCATTATGACTGGTACAGGTAAGAGTACCCGAGACAAGGTCCTTCATGCAGTCTCAGAAAGGCTTGATGAAGTTGTACATCTTCGGCTGCTCTCATATCCGGATCTCTTTGCATATGATGCCAAATATCATAGAAGCTGCCTTAAACACTATATCTCTAAACTAAATATAGCAGCTGCCAGACGAAAAAAAGAATCAGAACAGCAGACCAGTATCTATGACAAAGCTTTTATTAAGCTCACTGAACTCATTGACAAAACTGTTTTCTCAAAAGAAATGAAAGTGACGACCCTCAACTCCTTGGCTGGGAGGTTTGATGACACTGAGGTCTGGGGAAGAAGATGAGACGGTCCAACACACTAAATACAGCTCCTGGAAACTGAAGGAAAAGCTCTTACTGCATTACAAGCACAGGCTGGTATTTGTAGAACGAGCTGGAAAGTCTGATTAGGTATGAAGGTGTGCCCATGGGATTGGCAATGAGAGCTGTACAACTCGAAGACAAGCCAGAAGAGACAACAGCTTCTACAGCAGACTGTGAGACACAACAGCAAAGTCAAGGTCTCTCTGACAGGCAAATACTACATAGAGCTGCAGACATATTGAGAAAGAGCATGGAGCAGGTTGACCATAAATCATATGTCAGCAGTGATCGACTATCACGTCTACATTGCAGCAATTATGTACCAAGCAATGTTTATGACTTTGTGAACTGGTGTGTTGATTCAAATGCTCACAGAAATTGCGAGACCTGTGATGAGGAACCAGCTTTGAAGGACAATCTGCGTGTCATTGCAATCTGCCATGATCTCATTGCACAGTGCCGTCACATCCATACGCCAATAATACTGGGACTTGCCATTTTGATTCATCATTTTACTCATCAATGAGCTCAGTGCAATGGGGCACTGTGTTTCCTATACAGAGGTTCGACAGTTCCTCACATCTGTGGCAGCAGACCAGATATCAAGGACGTGGTGTCTACATCCCAACTGGCCTCACTGGAGTCACTGAACATGGAATTGTTGATGCAGCCATCGATAACTTTGATCAGAATGAGGATACTCTGGACGGGAAGCAAACAACTCATGCTATGGCATCTGTTGTGTACCGAAGAGGCCATGTCTCCACTGCATATGAATGTCTAGCACGAGTCCCAGAGAGGTCTCTCTCAACCTTGAACACAGCTGACTTGAATGGAGAGAAACTTCACAGATATGTTTGGATTATTTGAATTTGTATTCATTCCGTTTTCATGTGTATAGTCACAGTACAAATTAATTGGTGGGGGTGTTCAATATGAATACTTGGTGAGGTTTAGTGTTCTGAGTTGATATTTAATGCATATGATAACAAGCTTATCTTATTATTTCTGGATACAGATATATCAAACCTCCAAAGCGACCAGAACCGCCCGAACTTCCAAAACCTGAGATACTACACATAAACACAGCAGTCTCCAAAGCAGCAGAAGGCAGAGACCTGGTATGGAAGCTGGCTCGAAACCAGAGCGAGAATCAACAGCATATTCCTGCGTGGTCTGCATTCAATGCCTTCACATCAGACACACCTTGTCCAGTAGCCAGTGTACTATACATGCCCTTCATAAGAGAATCGCCCTCAGATTTGTCCACCATCTATACAGCTATGATACAGCTTGTACAGCTAGCTGAAGAACTGGGACAACACCATGTGCTTGTGACTGCAGACCTTGCAATTTATAGCAAAGCGCAACAGATATTGTGGAACAAACCAGAGCTCTTAAAAGGGAAGATCACAATGAGACTAGGAGGTATGCATATCACAATGGCTTACCTTGCAAGCATTGGAAAGCTCTATGGTGATGGCGGACTGTTTGACATACTCACTGAGTCAGACGTGTATGCAGAGGGCACAGCCCGACAGTTGCTTCAGGGGAAGCAGCTGGCAAGAGGAATAAGGAGCATAAAGCTAGCCTCTGAGGCTCTGTTCAGGCTCTTCTGGAAAGCCATGCAATCATGGCTTGAAAAGAAAGGCAAAT